TCAGTGTAAGCTGCAAGTGACCAGACACAGAGAGACTGCCTGGAAAGCTGTGGCCTCATGAGGGCTGGCCTGGGCAGACGTCAAAAGAGACACCTCCTCTTCCAACTCACTTTCCACAGCAAACACCGAGACTGTCTCACCGGCAAGCGTTTTTTGCTGACAATGAAAACAAGTATACCCTGGGGAACGGTGGCCCATTTCTCTGATCCCAGCTCTTTGCCAGGTTGAGGCAGGAGGATCAAAAGTTTGAGGGGGGACTTATGAGATGGTGAGCAGTTTAGAGTACCGGTTTGCTCTTCCAGAGATCCCGCTTGGCCTCCTGAGTGCTAGGCTGCACATTGCTACTTCTGCAAATAGCTTCTTATGGCCCCCAGGAAACTCACGGGTTCAATAAATTGAACTTGGGGGGGTTCGATCATCTCTCCTCTCCTCTCCTCTCTTCCCTTCTCCTCTCCTCCCCTCCCCTTCCTTCCTCTCCCCTCCCTTCCCCTCCTCCCTTCTCCTCTTCCCTCCCTTCCCCTCCTCCCTTCTCCTCTCCCCTCCCTTCCCCTCCTCCCTTCTCCTCTCCCCTTCCTTCCCCTCCCCTCCTCTCCCCTCCCTTCCCCTCCTCTCCCCTTCCTTCCCCTCCTCCCTTCTCCTCTCCCCTTCCTTCCCCTCCCTCCTCTCCCCTCCTCTCCCCTCCCCTCTCCTCCCTTCTCCTCTCCCCTCCCTTCCTCTCCCCTCCCCTCTCCTCCCTTCTCCTCTCCCCTCCCTTCCCCTCCCCTCCTCTCCCCTCCCTTCTCCTCTCCTCTCCCTTCCTCTCCTCTCCTCTCCTCTCCTCTCCCCTCCTCTCCCCTCCTCTCCTCTCCTCCCCTCCCCTCCCTCTCTGTATCAGAATGTAAAGCTCTTAAAGATCTCAGCTACTGCTCCGGTGCCACATCTCTCTGCTTCCTGCCATGAGTAAAATTAACTGCCCTCAGTTAAATATTTTCTTATACGAGCTGCCTTGGTCCTGTGTCTCTTCACAGCAATAGACCAGTAACTAAGACATCCCCGTAATCCCAGCACTAGAAAGATAAGGCAGGAGAATTTCAAGTTTGAGGCTAGCCTGCACACATAGAGAGTTCCAGACCAGCTTGAATTACATAACAAGATCCTGTCTCCATCTCTGTGAGTTCGAGGCCAGGCTGGACCGACAGCCTCGAAAACAATACGGAGAAACCCTGTCTCGAAAAACAAAAACAAAAAAAAAAAAAGATCCTGTCTCCAAAAAGGTAGATCGGGACCTGGAGAGATGGCTTACTGTTAAGAGCACTTTTTTTTGTTTGTTTGTTTTGTTTTGCTTTTGTTTTTTGTTTTTGTTTTTCCCCCGAGACAGGGTTTCTCTGTGTAACAGCCTTAGCTGTCCTGGAACTCACTCTGTAGACCAAACTGGCCTCGAACTCACAGAGATCCGCCTGCCTCTGCCTCCCGAGTGCTGGGATTAAAGGCATGCGCCACCATCGCCCTGCTAAAAGCGCTTGTTCTTTGGGAGGACCTGGGTTCAGTTCCCAGCACCTATATGGTGGGTCACAACCATCTGTAGCTCCAGTTCCAGAGGATCCAATGCCCTTGTCTGGCCTCCTTGGGCACCAGGCATGCATGTGGTACATTCAAGTAAAACACCCATACACATAAAAGTAACAAATAAATCTTTAAAAAGATTGATGATGAGTAGATCGGTAGATGGGGCAAGAGAGGGGGATAGAGAGAGAGACCAAGGGAAAGGAGGGAAAGAAATAGCAGGTAGGGGTTGGGAGGGGTCCACGTTCAGCAGGGTGCCATTGTTTTATTTTGTCTCCCTGCTATTGCAGGAGTTGAGTGTGAAGCAATATTTCAAAACTAACCTGATTGGAGAGAATGGTCTCTTTGATAACGGGCAGATGACCCCTATGGGGCAGATAAGTATGGGAAAGATGTGAGATTAGGAGGTGAAGCGGGAGCAGGGACAGTCACCAGTCAGGAGTAGGAAGCACTGGTCCCCAGGGTGGGAGCAGGGACAGTCACCAGTCAGGAGTAGGAAGCACTGGTCCCCAGGGTGGGAGGCTGCTTGAGGAAGAGAAGGAGTCTGAGTGAGCCCTGAGCACTGACAGCCCAGGTGTGTGCTGGGACGCAAAACGACCATTCAATGGGTGATTTTCTCCATCCTCTGAGAGTGGATACTTCCTGTTTCTCTTAATCATACCTCTTTGTAGCTTTCTGAGAACCTCGTAAAATCCATGACGATCTGACTTCTTTTCTTTTCTTTTTTTTTTCTTTTTTTTTTTTTTTTTTGGTTTTTCAAGACAGGGTTTCTCTGTGGCTTTGGAGGCTGTCCTGGAACTCGCTCTGTAGACCTCGAACTCACAGAGATCCGCCTGCCTCTGCCTCCCGAGTGCTGGGATTAAAGGCATGCGCCACCAACGCCCTGCTACTTCTTTTCTTTTTTAAAAAATATTTATTTATTATGTATACAGTGCTCTGTCTGCATGTATGCCTTGCACCAGGAGAGGGCACCAGATCTCATTACAGACAGTTGTGAGCCACCATGTGGTTGCTAGGACCTGAACTCAGGACCTATGGAAGAGCAGCCAGTACTTTTAACTGCTGAGCCATCTCTCCAGACTGACTTGTCTTCTTATCTATCTGCCTCTCCTCTAGACTCTAAAATTCCAGGAGAGCAGAGCTGGAGTGTCTCTCGTTCCTGCTCTAGCCCTAGTCTAGTGCAGTACCTGGCGTATAGAAAAGGCACTCAGAGCCTGGAGATGGCTCGGTGGGTAAGCGTGCTTGCTGTACAAGCATGAGGACCTGAGTCTGGATCTCCAGTGTCAGACATATTCAAATGCCAATGCCTCTTGATAGGGTACCGATGGAGGGGGACTTTCTTTTTGAGTTGTCTCTCTTGTTCCAGGCTGTGTGAAAACCTGACCCCAAAGGCACTAGGAGCCTCTATGCTAGGCAAAAACTTTGGGTGTCAGCCCTATCTAGGGCTCAGGCCAGGATGGATGGCCATGAAGAGGGGGTGCCAGAGTTCCTTAGCCTAGGTAGTGTATTATGAAAGGCTGGACTAGCAATAACAGAATGTATCTGGATCCAGGAGGGGCTAGGGTTGGTGTGTGGGATGTGTGGGGTGTGGGGAGCGGAATACTACAGCAGTCTGAGAGGGGCAAACACTCAGCTTGGAGAACAGAAGAGCTGAGCAGATGAATATTTGAACAACACTTAATTTTTTTTTGAGATAAGGTCTCGCTCTGTACCTTTAGCTGGCCTGGAACTTGCCATAATTGAGACATATTTAAAATGCAAGTTCAAACTGGGTATGCTTGTAATCCCAGTTCAAGAAAAGCTGAGGCAGGAGAATTGAGGCCAGCCTGGGCAACATAGTGAATTAAAAAAATAATGTATTTAAATTTATTTTATGTGCTTTGATGTAAGATGTCAGATCCCTGGCACTGGAGTTACAGACAGTTGTGAGCTGCCATGTGGTTGCTGGGAATTGAACCCAGGTCCTCTGGAAGTTAAGTGCTCTTAACTACTGAACCATCTCTCCAGCCCCACATACTGATTTTTAAGCTAACCTGGACTACATAATGGGACCATCTCTCAAAAGAAAATGGGTGGTGGTGGGGGGCTGGAGAGATGGCTCAGCGGTTGGGAGGACAGGCTGCATTTCCAGAGGACCTGGCTTCTTTTCCCAGCTCACAGCCATCTGTAAGTCCCGTTCTAGGGGATCTGATGCCCTCTTCTGGCCTCTGTGGACAACAGGCGTGCAAGTGCTGCACAGACAGACAGGCAGGCAACACACACACACACACACACACACACACACACACACCAAACAAGCCAATATGTAGGGAACTGGGTAGATGGCTCATGGCTCAAGGGACAAACTGCTGTGTAAGCATGAGGGCCTGTATTTAGATCCCTGGCGCCCATATAAGGCACCTGTTGATAAACCTCAGGGTTGAGGGTGGGGTGGAGTTAAGCAGATGCCTGAGGCTCACTGGCCAGTCTAGTCAAAGCACTGAACATGAGGTCCAGTGAGAGACCTTGTCTCGGAAAACGATAGACAACCCCTGATGTTGACCACCCACAAACAAGGACACATTCACACACCACATACAACAACTTAAAATCAGCAGGGCATGGTGGCACAGAGCTTTAATCCCAGCACTCAGGAGGCAGACATGTTTGTAAAAAGGTAAAGTCAGTAGGTTTGGCAACTGGAAGACGGTGGAGGAGAATGGAGGACATCAAGAATGATTTTGAGACCTCAGTCAATGAATCACCCGTCTCCTTTTAGCCTGTCTCCCAGTCTAAACGCATAGAAATGGCTACTGCCCTGCTTAGCTCCCACCGCTACCCCCAGTTCGTTCGGGGCTTAGGTATCCAATTTTCTGGGGAGCACACCATCTATAGGCTGAAGAGCACGGGTCTTGAAGACCGACATCGGTCCTTTCAGACCTCGGGATAACGGATGCTTTGGGGAGAGGGGTGTGTGGGCGCTCGGGGGACGGGGGAGGGATCCTGGAAGAGTGGTCACAGCTAAACATTTTAGCGGGATCTCCTCAGAAGATGCTCATTCTGGAATCTCTGAAGAACAGGACGGTAGGCCTTGCGAATCAGGGTTGGAAGTAAAGAACGAGTGAACGCCCCAAGATGGAAGATGTCCAGGGGCGAGTGCGGGAGTGTGAGCGCGAGGACCTGTGGGTGACACGCAACACGTTGAAAGCCATAACCAGAGTTTGCATTTCTCGCTTAATCCACCTGGGAAGACACTGGCGTACTGCCCTGACTCGCAGGTCACCCTGGCCTCTATTCAACGTTGGGTACGACAACAGAGAAGGCAGCTGGAAGCCAGAGGGGCGGGAGAGTGCGCGGGTGGCGGGGAAGCCGGGAGGGGGGAGCTGCTTCTAGACAGAAGCTCGGGGTCCCTCGGCCCAAGTCCAGGGAAGCGACGGCTTTGGACAGAACCATTCTCAGAGGATGGAAGGGGGACAGGAGCCCTTCACCGTGAACCAGATCCCTCAGAACCAACTGGGAACTCGGTCATCTCTTTCTTTCATCTTTTTGCTTCTTTGTATCATGTTCCGTGGCCATTGTTGCTCTCTCTGCCACGATCCTGAGTCCTCAGAACCGACACTTGATCTTCTCTCACCCCCAGCAACACGCGTGGTACAGCCCAGCGGAGCCCGCTCCAGCACAGGTTATAAAGGCTCGGCTGCGGCAGCCCACTGCGGAGTCAAGATGCGCCCGAAGGAACAGGTGCAAAGCGGGGTCGGGGACGGGCCGGGGACGGGGGACCCAGAAGCAGGCACCCCCGCGACCCAGCCTGCGGCCAGTCCGGCCCCAGAGCCCTCGGCGGAGCCCAAACCTGCTCCGGCGCAGGGAACCGGGTCCAGACAGCGAGCTCCAGGATCCCGAGTCAAGTCAGGAAGCTTTTGTCGATCCATGATCGTCGGCAATTCGGACGCACCATGGACCCGCTACGTATTCCAGGGGCCTTATGGTCCCCGGGCCACTGGCCTGGGCTCTGGAAAGGCCGAGGGGATCTGGAAGACACCAGCCGCGTACATCGGCAGGAGGCCCGGCGTGTCCGGCCCTGAGCGCGCGGCGTTTATTCGAGAGCTGCAGGAAGGTAAACTGAGTCTGTGGGACCCCCGCACTGGCTGCTACTAGGGCATCTCCGGAGAGGAGGGGCCCACCGACTCAAGCGCCCCGCCCCCGCGAGATCGCTGTCCGCGGTATCTGTTTAGTCTCCCTTTCCCCATCTCTTCCTCTCTTTCGGGGTCCACGATTTTTGCGGGTGCGTCAGTCAGGTAGATCCAGGGCTTGCGCGCTCCCCGCCCCCTCTTCGCGCCTGTTGCTGTGCAGATCTGCGCACTCTCAATGCCCCCTCCCCGTCTACTGCAGTGCCAGCAGAGGGGCGGGGGCTGCCGGAGGCAGCTGCTGGCCGCTCTCTGAGCGTGCGCTAGCCCGTGGGATCAGCCTGCGTGGGTGGTTGGAGGGGGGGGAGCTTTTGACCACTACTTGACTGAAGGGTCTGGGTAGTGCTTTCCTGGAGCAAGGCTGAGGCGGGAGGAGTGGGCGGAGCACTGGACTTCTGTCCCTCCTCTTCTGGGCGGGGGCAATTTTAGACTCTGGGGCCGCAGAAGTCTCCTTGGCCCACTTGTCATACGCAACAGGTGTAAGATGGCTGACTGCATCTGTTTTTATGACCGAGGAGGCCCCAAGTGAGCTGGCTTTGCTGCGGATTGGGTCAGGCATGAGGCATCAGTCTGCAGCTGTATTTCCCCTGACTTTATATCTCTAGTGACCAAGGACCTCGGGGTCCTCGGAGTCCAGTTCCTGAACCGGGAGAATGGTTTTGCTCTTACAGCACCCAGGCCCCTCCTGAGGAAGCAGGGGTGCTGAGACCCGGAGCTGTGGAGAGGGTGCTAGGGCCGGATGATCTCAGTCTCCTGGCTCCATGACCTTTGGTGCGAGGGACTGTGAGCAGCCTCGGCTCCTTTCCCTGACCCACTCAGGCTTTTCTTTCCTCCTGCAGCACTGTGTCCTAACCCACCTCCCACGAAGAAGATCACCGAAGATGATATCAAAGTGATGCTGTATTTGCTGGAAGAGGTGGGTATTGCCTTCCTCATCCAGGCCAGCCCTCGTTTTAACTGCCCTGCAGTGCATAGGGATTTTGTCTGTTTTTCTATTTGCCTGGGGGCCAGCTTGAGGGCCCCTCTCCTGGAAAGCAAGTGGCTGATCTTATTTTCCCCTCCGTGGTGGGAAACTGAGTCACACCCCAGGGTTGGTGAATAGTCTCTGATCTAGCACCTGGACTACTGGGTGTTGGAGAAGCTTTCTTCTTGTAGCCTAGCCCCGGTTTCTCCCTCCTGTTTGGGAGGTCCCAGAAACTGGGAACGTATGAATGGGTGGCTCTCCTTTTGCAGAAAGAACGGGACCTGAACACAGCCGCTCGCATCGGCCAGTCCCTGGTGAAACAGAACAGTGTTTTGATGGAGGAGAATAACAAGCTGGAAACCATGCTGGGCTCAGCCAGGGAGGAGGTATCTGGGTACCTAAAGGAGAAGGGGAGGGGTCAGTGTGTTCTGGTCAGCCAGGGAGGAGGTATCTGGGTACCTAAAGGGGAAGGGGAGGGGTCAGTGTGTTCTGGTCAGCCAGGGAGGAGGTATCTGGGTACCTAAAGGGGAAGGGGAGGGGCCAGTGTGTTCTCTCCCCCAAACAAGCACCCGATTTTTGCCTTCCTCCTCACCTTTCATTGGCTTCCCTCTCCTCCCCTAGATCTTACAACTCCGGAAGCAGGTGAACCTGCGAGATGACCTCCTTCAGCTCTACTCGGACTCCGATGATGAGGAGGAGGAGGACGAGGAGGAGGAAGAGGAGGACGAGGAGGAGGAGGAAGAGGGAGAGGGAGAAGGGGAGGAGCATGAAGGACAGCAGGGTCAAGATCAGCAGCACGATCATCCTTACGGTGCCCCCAAGCCGTACGTGTCCTGTCTTTGTGCCTGGACCATCCCTTCTCGGAGCCTCTGTTGCTCATTTGTAGGCAGGGGCAGAGACAGCCTGCCAGCAGAGCCGTTGGGACTTGCTGACAGTGCCACCCTCATCCAATGTGGGGAAGCCTTGGGGACGGGGATCTGCCATCCTTCCCGCCCCTCCCCACACACTGACTCTCACCGCCCTGTTACCAGGCCCCCTAAGGTGGAGACACAGCACTGCTGCCCACAGCTGGAAGCCCTGCAGCAGAAGCTGAGGCTCTTGGAGGAAGAGAATGACCACCTTCGAGAGGAGGTGAGGACAGGGAGGAGGGCATGAGGAGGTCATGCCCTTTGGCAGGGGGTGGTGACAAGCCTTGCCCCTTCCTCTTTCCCTCCCTCCAGGCCTCTCACCTTGACAACCTGGAGGACGAGGAGCAGATGCTCATTCTGGAATGCGTGGAGCAGTTCTGTACGTGACACTGTCGTTCGGGGTAGGGCACTGTCCCCAGGGGTGATGGAAAGAATTCAGGGTTTTGGAGACTGGAGATCTGAGCTGAGGTCCTGGCTCTGGGACTTGCAGCTGTGTAAGTGAAGACAGATCCCTCGGCTCCTCCGAATGCGCCTCTTTAGGAGTAGTATTAATAGCCACGGCCCGCTGCTCGTCTTCTGAGACTTTATGAAGATCAGGCGAAGCACTGTTGCCGTGCGTCGTGGGGCTCACTTAACCAGTGGCTCCTTCCAGAGCCGCTCTCAGGCTTTGCAGCATTGGTTGAGTGGGATGCTCCACCCGTGATGCCCCTTTGTCCACCGCTGTCCCCCATTGACACTGGCTCCATTGTAGCCCATACTATTTGGGATTGTGAGTTCCTTTCGCCAGCTGCCTGTCTCCACCGTACTGAGCTTGGTGTGGGCTGGGATCAGGTCTTACCAGCCACACCCCCCAGTCCCTGCTCTGCGTTATGAAGCTGTTTCTGAAGAAGACCTGAGCAGAGAGTGCCAAAGCCCCATGGGACCCCTGAGGGGCGGGACAGAGGCCCAGAGCCTGGACCGGCCTGTGCTTGCTCCGTAGCTGAAGCCAGCCAGCAGATGGCAGAGCTGTCGGAGGTGCTGGTGCTGAGGCTGGAGAGCTATGAGCGGCAGCAGAAGGAGATCACCCAGCTGCAGGCCGAGATCGCCAAGCTACAACAGCGGTGTCAGTCGGTAAGCTGCCCCGTGGAGGCCCCTTGCCCTTATCAAGGCTCCGTGGGACCCGAGCCTCCTCCCGCTGCTCTGCCTTCCGTAGCGCTGGGCTCTGCCAGGTCCAAAGGCCTTCCCTGTGATAACTAGATTGCCATTCAACCTGCCCAGTCATGTCCCTAACCGAGCCCTCACAGGATCTCTGTCCCAGGTACTCTCCCAGGTACCAGGCTGCATGACCTTCATTTCGTGACTCTGATTCAATGTGACTTCTTCCTAAAAGGACTGTCAAAGACTCCCTGATGTGGGAAGACTTTTGGGGCAGGGAGTACAGGAGTGGGAGGCTTTGGTGGGGTCTCACACTTCCTGGTTCCTTCCAGTATGGAGCCCAGAATGAGAAACTGCAGCAGCAGCTGGCTTCGGAGAAAGGAGTCCACTCAGAGGTGAGGTTCCATGTGTCCCCGACCCAGATCTGGGATGTAGGCCCCTGGGGACTGCTGGCTCAGCTCCCACCCTGACCGGCTGGCTTATGGTTTAGCAGGTAGCAGCTCATTTGAGGCCTGAATGGAAAGGGTCTTGTCCAGGGTCACCCTGAATCTCACTCACTGTTTGGATCTAGAGGGGGGTCCTTGCCTCTGCCTAACGTGAGAGCAGGCAGAGCCTGACTGGGCACCCCCGGATCCTAGCAGAGCCTTTGGGAGGGCTCCTACATGCAAGATTATGGGAGCAGGCTTCGTGAGCGCCACGAGGGTGGGAAGAGCCAGCGCCATCGCTCCTCGATGCCTGCGGGTTCTGTCACCCACTACGGATACAGCGTGCCTCTGGTGAGGATGCCCCTTTGATCTCGGGGTGCCCTGTGTTTCAGCCCTGCTGCCTGGTTTCTGCCCTCAGATTTTTTTCTGTGAGTGTGGGGGTGGAATGTCTCCCCTCTGTTGTAGGATGCCCTTCCGAGTTTCCCAGAGACGCTGGCTGAGGAGCTCCGAACGTCCCTAAGGAAGATCATCACTGACCCCGCGTATTTCATGGAGAGGTGCGTGACTGGGATCTAGGCTTGGTTCAGCTGTGCTCACTGTAGTTCACCCAGTGGCAACTACCTTCTCTGAGGGGGGCATGATTGACCCTCATGTTCTGACCTCAGTTGCACCCATTCCCACACACTGCCTAACCCCCCCCCCTTGGGTTCTGTGTTGAATTGGTCTTTTCTACCTGAGACTTCTTTCTTTCATTTTTGTCTTTTTGAGACAGGGTTTCTCTGTGCAGCCCTGACTGTCCTGGAACTCACTCTAGACCAGGCTGGCCTTGAACTTCAATATCCTCCTGCCACTGCCTTCCCAGTACTGAGATTTAGTGTGTTACCATGTCCCGCTTCCTGTGACTTTTCAATATGTTTGTGCCCCAGGGACTTTGCAGTGTGAGCTTCCTCAGTACACTGAAGGTCCTGTTCTCTGTTTAGGACTTAGGGGATGACTGTGGGGAGACATCAAACCGGGGTAACCTGGCTAAGGGCTCCCCATCATCTGACTTCACATTGCAGCAGCCAGACAACAGCTTGTTGCTGGTTCTGTGACTGGAAAACTCTGGAAAGACGAGTTTTGGGGAGCTGCTCACCTGAAAGTTGTTTGGGGAATGCACTGTTCCCTTTTCATCCAGATGATGACCCCTGGGTGGCTGTGACACTTAAAGCTACTCTATGGAGAGACCAAGGCTTTTCTTTCCTTCACTGACCATGGACTAACCATGAATGGCCTAGTCGTTGGGAGCACCTGGGACTCAGTCCCAGTTTGGCTCCTTTGTGCCAGGGAAAGTCACCTGACCTGTGTGAGCCTGACCACAGCAGATTCATTTCTATGACAACTGGCTCTGGGATGAAGTATCCCAGTTGCCCTTTTCTAGACTGGCTGGTGGGGACTGGACAAGAGCATGGAACCTGTTTGGTACTGAGCCTCCTTCCTCCTGCTAAGAGGCACGGGCTGGGTATTATTGGATGCCTTGAAGATGAGTCTCTTCCTCTCACTCCTTGCTGGGACAGAGCTAGGGTGGATCATCAGGGTCTGCAGACTAGGACAGGGCAAGAGAACTCACAGAGAGCTGAGGGGTAGGGGTGCAGTTGGGGTGTCCTCCTCAGAAGTCCCTGGTGGCAAAGTCCTGGGGAGTGGAGTAGGTGCTAGGAAGTCCAGCGTGGGTGACAGGTGTGGGAAGACCCCGCTGTCTCCCTGCCTAGATGTGACATCCACCGCAAGGAGGAGCGAGGACAGGAGCAGGGGGTGGTGCCACCCCCCCCACCGCAGCAAGACCTCAAGCCACCTGAAGATTTCGAAACTCCAGAGGAGCTGGTGCCTGAGGAGGAGCTGGGGGCCATAGAAGAGGTGGGGACCGCTGAGGAAGGGCTGGCTGAAGAGGTGGAGCAGGCGTCTGAGGAGACCGAGGCCTGGGAGGAGGTGGAACCAGAGCTGGATGAAGCCACAAGGATGAATGTGGTGGCCTCTGCCCTGGAGGCCAGTGGCCTGGGCCCTTCCCGCCTGGACATGAAGTATGTCCTCCAGCAGCTGTCCAACTGGCAGGATGCCCATTCTAAGCGGCAGCAGAAGCAGAAGGCGGTCCCTAAAGGTGAGTGCTCCCGCGGAGAACACCCTCCTGCCAGTGGGACCAGCTTCCGGCCATCAACCTTGTGAGAGGTGAGGGTACGTGAGCCCCCCAATGCTCACTTACCTCAGCTTAGTCCCGCTCGGTGTGCTGATTTGCATGGACTTTGCATACTATTCACGTGGGCCCCTCCAGTCCCCCTCAGCGCTCATTTAGGCAGAATTTGCTTACAGTCAGCTGTCCATCCACCTTCTTTCTGGGGGCTGCACTGGGGATCAGGCTTGGACTACACGCCCCCTTCGTACCTCAGCTTCCTGTCTCTGCCCACCCTTCCCTCATCCTTCATCCCTAATATGATGCCTCAGCCTTGCAGCAAACAATGGGGGTGGGCATCTTGGAGCAACATCCCAGGGTGCTGCTCCAGGACTCTCTGGCTGGAGGAAGACAGGGCCACTCACTCTCCCAGTGCCAGGGAGGAAGAGGGACCTTCTGGTGCCACCTGAAACTGGGAGAGAGGCCTCTCTACCAGCAAGGGCCACAGTCGGACCAGTGGGTCCCCTGCCCCGTCCCCGCCCCCTGTGAGTGGGGGACTCCTGCAGGGTGGTAGAGTGGGTCAGGGGTTCCTTTGCTTATCTAGAAACCCTGGACTTTGGGAGTTACGTGCTCTGAGGAGAGGCCGGTTAGGCCCTGCCTATGAGGAGCTGTCAGCAAGTTCAGATGCTTTGGCCCTGGAGCTTTTCCTTGGGATGGTTCCTTCCATCCTCACACCCCTGTGGGTAGGCACATATGATCGTGCACCGTTTATTAGAAGAGGAACCTGAAGTTCAGAGAGCTGAGCTGACTTGTCCAAGGTCACACACCCAGGAGCAGATGTGAGCCTGTGCCTGTGTATGAGTAGTGAAACCCTAGTCTGATCTCACGGCTGCGCACAGCTCCTGCGCTCCACCTGAAGTTTGTGACTTGTTAGCGGCCTCCTTTCATGTCTGGCCGCTGTCACTCTGATTTTTTTTTTTTTTTTTGGCACCAGTGGGTGGAATATCACTGGCTGCAGCACAGTAAGTGTGTGCAGGTTGTAAATGGAGTCAGCACTTCTGCGGCTGCCAAAGGGAGACCAGCGGTGGTATTCGGTCTCCTGACACGGCCCACTGGGTCTGAGGTGGGTCAGGCTCCTGGCTCACATCCACCCGCTTCTCACCCAGGCTTTGCTGTTTCCCAGCAGCCTGCAGTGCCCCACAGACAGCTTGAGACCCCTCCTGCTGCTGCCTGGCAAGTGCTACCCTTCCTATCCTTCACGCCTGTCAGCAGGCCTTTCTCCGTCCTGACAGACCTAGGCCCAAGCTTCCACCCTCCTCTAGGACAGTCTGAAAGAACCCCAGTTCCTCATTCTGAAACTGGTGCCAAAGCTGTGGCTACTGCCCCCCCCCCCCGGGGGGCAGAAGCAACCTGTGGGCAGACTGGCTGGCTACCAGACCCAGCTCTGAGATGAGTTGTGAGTGGTCAGGGTGGGGGCCCGGGTCCCTAGGGTTGGCGGTTATTGGGGGGACTCTCTCTACCCCCTGAACCACTCACATAAAGGGACCTCCCCGGGTCTGGTTGACTTTTGGAACCTGGCTCTTTTTGCTGTCCTTCGTCCTTCTCCTGTTTCTATTACCGTGTGTAACGTGACGTGTGTCGGAGCAGGGGGGGGGGGCCTCCGCCCAGTGGCGTGTCAGTCTCCTGTGGCCTGTGAGTTTCCCTCCAGAGCTCTGCCCTTCCCACATCTTTGCTCACACATAGCTGTGGCCTCGGTGCCTGCCCTGCTGCAGTGCTTCGTAGTCTTGTAGTTGTCAGCCTTTGTACTGATGTCTGTGCCAATGTGGAAATAAAGAACTTGTGAGCTACCTGACCTGCCTCAGTGTTTCTTAGGAATCACGGTGTGTGTGTGTGTGAGTGTGTGTGTGTGAGTGTGTGTGTGTGTGAGTGTGAGTGTGTGTGTGTGTGTGTGTGTGTGTGTACATGTGTGGGCGCTTTTGGGGAACAGAGCTGTGGAGAGAAGCTGGGTTGATGCTGAATGACATACCAAGGACTCTTATTAAGTATAAGTGCATAAGATCCACTGCTGTGTGAGGGCAGATTAAGGAAGTCCTCAAATGCCTGAATAAAAGAATAACAAATATTTATTTGGGGAACACTTACACAATGAAGGTAAAGAGCTACCATGGTCTTCTGCCCCTGGAGGCACAGGATGCTGTGATACAGGATGCTGTGATAATCAGGTCTCCAACCACCACGAGACAGAGACAGAGAGAGAGAGAGAGGAGAGAGGAGAGAGAGAGCTCAAGGCCAACCTGGCCTACAGAGCCAGTTCCAGGACAGGCTCCAAAACTACAGAGAAACCCTGTCTCAAGAAAAAGAAAAGAAAAGAAAAGAAAAGAACCCCTTCCCCAAATCTTTAACAGTTGCCAATACTCCTCAAAAGTTCATGACAGGTGTGGTGGTGCACACTTTTAATCCCAGCACTCAGGAGGAAGAGGCAAGCAGATCTCTGAGTTCAAGGCCAGCCTGGTCTACAAAGTGAGTTCCAGGACAGTCAAGACTACACAGTAAAATCCTGTCTTGAAAAAAAACCCAAAAGTCCAAGTTCAAGTTGTCTTTAACCTGTGAGAGTCAACATACTTTTTAGTTACAAATCCTACAGGAAGGAAAGTTGTATACTTACAATTTATAGTGCTACAGGGTAAACACCTAGTGTTACCTTTTCCCCTTCTTTTTGAAGCTGGCTAGCCTGGAACTCAATATGTAGACCAGGCTAGCCTCAAACCTACAAAGATTCAATTTTCTCTGCCTCTCAAGTGCTGGGATAAAGACACTCACCCCCTAGCCCAGCTGGCCTTACTTTAAGATGCTAATTGGTTACAGTATCTTAAAGATAGTCTCAGGGACAGTAGTAGTACACACCTGTAATTTCAGCACAGGGAGGCAGAAACAGGTGGATTGGGCGTTCAAGACTGATTTGGGCTCTGCCGCAAGACTGTCTCCAAGGAAACAACCAAAAGAGACAAGTAGAGGCTAGAGAGATGGCCCTGTGGGTAAGAGTGCTTGCTATGCAAGCCGGAGGCACTGAGTCCCCAGCACCACGGAGAGTGGAAGCAAGAGGCTCACTGGGGCTTTTTGGCTAGTTCAGGGTTTAGTGAGAGACCCTGTCTCATAGGCTTAAAGCTAAGGTTATAAGGTAGGATGCCCAATGTCCTCCTCTGGCCTCTGAGCTTATGTACATGTGCTTACACCTGCATATACACATACACATACACCACCCATGTACAGCACACTCACAAAGAATAAGTCAACTAGACCTGATTCATACTGTGGCATATATATGTACTTGAACAGAATGAGTGTGGTGATGAATGCCTCTAATCCCACCACTGGGAAGGCAGAGAGACAGGTGGATCTCTGTGAGGTGGAGGTCAGCCTGTTCTACATAGCAAATTCTAGGACAGCCAGAGTTATACAGTGAGACCTTGTCTCAAAAGACAACCAGAAGACAGACAGTATAGAAGGTTATAAGCAGTGCTTATCACTCTAATGAACCCTAAATAACTGTTGTCATGTCCTTCCTCTACTACTCTGCATTCTCCTCCCTGGGAGCCCTTTGGCTGGTCCACATTACCTTCCTGGTGGGGTGACCTAGATCTGCATTCTTAAAACTTGGCCAGTTTGTTTGAATTTCCTACTTAATGGTTATGAAACTAGAAGCACAAAAAGTGCCCCCCAAGCAGGTCCCTGAATCCCAGACAAGATCCTTCTTGTACCTGACATGAGGCTTTCCTTCAGGGAAAGCAGGGACAGTAACCTCTGATGGTCATTTACTTTGTTCTTTGGCCTGCAGGTAGGAAGACCCAAACATGGCCAAGAAGCAACTGTAACTTTGTATTTTTGGGTGCTGAAGCTCTTGGGTTCCATCCCTAGCACCATATAGCACCTGTATGGTTTGAAGTCAGTCTGGGTTACATGAGAACCCATTCCAAACAAAACAGACAAAAAGAACAGTTTTAAAACTGTTGTGGGATCTTTGCGTGCTGTGTGAAGATATGTTGCTGTAATTGGTTTAGTCAAGAGCTGAATGGCCACGCTGGGTGGTGGCTTTAATCCCAGAATTCGGGAGGCAGAGACAGGCGGATCTCTGTGAGCTCAAGACCAGCATGGTATACAAGAGCTAGTTCCAGGACAGCCTCCAAAGCCACAGAGAAACCCTGTCTTGAAAAACAAACAAAACAAAAAAAGAGCTGAATGGCCAATAGCTAGACAGGAGGTATAGGCAGGACTTCCAGGAAGAGAGAGAGGAAATAGGAGATGACCTAGGCACAGGAGAGATGCCAGCCAGACAAGGAATGAGTTGGACACACAGAATAAGATAGAGGTAAAAACCACCTGGTCAACTGTAGATTAATAAAATTTTGGGTTAATTTCAGTTATAAGAGCTAGTTGAAAACAAGTCTAAGCTAAAGGCCAACCTTTCATAATTAATAATAAGTCTCAATGTCATTATTTGTGAGTTGGTGATCGAAAGAAAAATCTTATTACATAAAATTGTATTTTTTAAAAAAGAATATTACCATGGAGTCCAGGCTGACCTTGAACTTCCAGCCCTCTTAATCTCCCAAGTGCTATCATTACAGACATGTGCCAAAAGAAACTATAAAATTCTTCCCTGAGAATCTACTATCTTCCCTGACTTTGCCTCTTAGCTTACTAAGCCTAAACTATTGTCTTTTTGTTTTGTTTTGTTTTGTTTTGTTTTTCGAGACAGGGTTTCCTCTGTGTAGCCTTGGTTGTCCGGGAACTCACTCTGTAGACCAGGCTGGCCTCGGACTCACAGAGATCGCCTGCATTTGCCTCCCAAGTGCTGGAATTAAATTATTTTCGATCTGGCCTTATAAGAAAGAGCTTGCCAGGCCTTGGGGTCTGCCCTTGGGACTGTTCAGACAGTCTGACGTTCCTGTCTACCACAGGCACTTTGACACTAATTGTAAACATGTCTTGTTTGAACGTGTACTGTGGTCTGTTCTGGCTGGATGAGACCTCTCGGATCCTTCTTCCCGACAGAATGGAAAATGCATTTTCATGAGGTCAGCATGTATCAGAGGTTGTGTTAATCTGTTCTAGTGGGGTCAGCTTATCTGTCTATATTCAAGACTGCTGTTGCTGATGTTTGCAGTAGTTTCCAGGATGGCAATGGTCCATCTTGTCATTCAGGACCCAGGCCTGGGCAGTGTAATGGAGAATATCACTCCTGTCTTTAAGGACAATTCTCTGCTGTTTCACCTGGCATGCAGCTCTGTGAGCAGTAGGGCAGCTTCAGGGACTTGCACTTTATTATTCCATACCACAGGGTAATTACGATGGATATTCTGCCAGCTGACATGTTTATCTATCCAAATTACACATGCCTAGACTAGGAGATGACAAGGTATGTCTAAGAACTCACTGCACCTACGGCGAAACACCCATGCCACGCTCTACTGGCTTCTCTGTGCCTCCTCTAACATGGATGGAGACCCCAGGGCCTTCTGGTTCTTAGGGTGTGAGTGTTGGCTCAGGCCCTGTGTTCAATAGCTTGGCTTGTGAACTCTGGGTGAATGCTCACACTGATTAGTGGCTATTCTGGGAACCCAAGTGGATTTGGCAGTCAGGCAAAGGATCACGAGTTTCCAGCCCAGCAGCTCCTCTGCTCTTTGTCTCTTTGATGTATAGAATCATCGTGGTAGAAGCTACTACAGTCAGGCCCGCAGTTGGAGCCCCCTGCTCGCCCCTTTGGTTTAGCTTTCCTGTGATAATAAAGTCTACCTTGTCAGTGATGGTGATGGTGATGGTACTGCTGCTGCTTCATCTGTTTCACACCTTTGCCAGCCGGGTCTGCAGTAGCAGCTCCTGCATCAACCATGGCCTAGGTCTTTACAGAGATTTTTAGGTGGATTTTATAGGTATGAGTGTCTGATCTGTATATTTGAGAGCATGCCTGGTGTCCTCAGAAGTCAGAAGAGCATGTCGGATCCGTTGGAACTGTGAATACAGAGTTGTGGGCCAAGGTGGGAGTACTAGGAATCAAAGCCCAGTTCTCTGCAAGAGAAGTCTGTGCTTAACTGCTGATCTTTCTCAGCACCTATTTTATATTTTGAGAAGGTCTTACTGTATAGCCTAGGCTGGCCTTGAATTCAGGGCAATTCTCATGCCTCAGGTTCTAGAGTGTTGGGACTACAGCTGTGAGCCACCATTCCCAGTAACTCCTCCCCAGAGTCTATACAGATCTAATCCCTAGTATGTTCCAATGTGACTTTTGGAATAGGATCAATGCAGATGTAATTAGTTAAGATGAAACATTGTTGGAGTTTCTTTCTAGCCTGGTCCTGCAGCCAATTAGCCCCAAATAAACACACAAAGACTTACATTAATTTATAAATTGTTGGCCTATGGCTAGTGCTTCTTATGGCTAGCTCTCTTTTAGTTATTAACCCATTTTTATTAACCTATGTATTTTTACATGGCCTTATCTTACCAGGGAACACCTGGCATGTCCTATCTTCCCAGTCTCTACATGGCGTTTCCTCTTGGTGACCTCTCTCTGCCTTCCTCTCCCCAGCCTTTTCCTGGTCTGATAGCCCTGTCTATCCTTCCTGCTTGGCTATTGGCCAAACATTGTTTTATTCATCAACCAATAAGAGAAACATATATACAGAAGGTCATTCCTCATCCATGAAATCATTAGGGTGTGCTATAATCTATGTGACTGGTATCCTTAGTAAAAATTAGACACACACACACACAGATAGAGAGAGAGAGATAGAGATAGAGATAGAGATAGAGAGAGAGAGAGAGAAAGACAGAGACAGAGAGAGATTGTATGAA